TGAGGCCACACATGCGTGGCATTCAGGCCAGCCAAGAAGCCGGAGCAGGTCGCGAATTTCCACGAGTGATTGCTCTCTGTGTCAGCTGTAATAGCAGTCCACTGTCCACTGTCCACAGTCACATACATGATTGAGACCTCCCAGCAGTGCATGTTACTGGGAGAAATGTATCCAAATGATGACTGATGGACTTGTATAGTGCTGCCCTAATAGCAGCTTTGATGCATCACAGCATGGCCATCGTTGCTGCCCGGAATTCCAGCCCTGCTGCTGGCATTTGTTTTCTGTGCTATGTATCCCTGAAAAGCGGGGACAGCTGAAACATGTGTGAATGCCAGCCACTGTTCACTGTCCACAGTCACACTGTTACCAACAGTGGGACTGTGGACAGTGTTTGCAGTATGAAAGCATCCATACGATGAGCTCTGGACATACTAGCTGCCATTCACAAAGACTTTTCCATCGCTTTTCTGCTGCAAAAAGCTGTTGCACTTGCCTTGATCACGGACTGCAACCCTGGATAGAGCCCTACCCCAAGACCCAAACATTAACCCCAAACTTGCGAGCCCCATCGCCCACAAGCAGCAGTGGACATTTCCTCGTCTTCTTCCTCCTCCTCCTCCTCCTCCTCCTCCTACTACTACTACTACTGCAACTATGACTTGCTACAACTTCCATCAGAACTGCTTCTCTACTTCTGAGATACAGACATCGAAAACTTGCCTTTACCAAGCAGAGCTCCTACCCAGCAAGTTATGTGGTGCCCGCACTGTGGAGATTTCGGCATTGCCGCAGTTTTCCACAGTGCGGACACAACTCAACTTCAGGACTCTGTATACACCGTTGGCCGGGTGTAGAGGCAAGCGTGCCTAGAAATGTGTGTTGTGCAGACCCAGGCTGGGGGGTCAAATTGCAATTGCACTGGCATGTCGGCACGAGAAAGTTGGGAGGCCTGCTACAATTCACTCCAGTGAGCTTTTTTGCCCACGTCATTCTGGGTTTGCTGTTCTTGTGAGGCTGTCATCCTGCCTGCTGCTCTCTCTGCCTCGACGGAGTGGTGCCAAACGTGGAGTTGGGTGCTGAAGGCCAAATTGGGTTACATGGGATACATATATGCCTGTCCTGGTCCTTGCTCCTCGGACCCCTCCTACTTCTACTACTGAAAACCCAGCACCAAAAACCTTCAACTCTCCATCAACTGACACCCTAACCCATGTGATCTTTGTGGAGTGGCAGCCATTTAAGGGGTATGTGTGTGGATATATGTATATGTATATATATATATATATATGCACATAGACTGCGACTACTACAACGGCTACTACTCCTACTACTACTACTACTACTGCTACTACTACTACTACTACTGCTACTGCTACTTCTACGACAACAATTGCTACTGCTTCTGCTACTGCTGCTGCTGCTGCGGCTACTGCTACTACGACCACGACTACTACAACTGCTACAACAACAACAACTACTACTACTAACACTAGTACTACTACTACTACTACTACTACTACTACTACTACTACTACTACTACTACTACTACTACTACTACTCCTGCTGCTGCTACTACTACTACTACTACTACTGCAACTATGACTTGCTACAACTTCCATCAGAACTGCTTCTCTACTTCTGAGATACAGACATCGAAAACTTGCCTTTACCAAGCAGAGCTCCTACCCAGCAAGTTATGTGGTGTCCGCACTGTGGAGATTTCGGCATTGCCGCAGTTTTCCACAGTGCGGACACAACTCAACTTCAGGACTCTGTATACACCGTTGGCCGGGTGTAGAGGCAAGCGTGCCTAGAAATGTGTGTTGTGCAGACCCAGGCTGGGGGGTCAAATTGCAATTGCACTGGCATGTCGGCACGAGAAAGTTGGGAGGCCTGCTACAATTCACTCCAGTGAGCTTTTTTATTGCCCACGTCATTCTGGGTTTGCTGTTCTTGTGAGGCTGTCATCCTGCCTGCTGCTCTGCCTCGGTGGAGTGGCGCCAAAGGCGGAGTTGGGTGCACCCGCCGTGAACTGACACCCTAATTAACTGTCCTAACCCAAGTGTGATTTTTGTGGAGTGGTGGCTAACTAAGGGGTATGTGTGTGTGGACATACACTGCTACAACAACAACAGCTACTACTACTACTACTACTACTACTACTACTACTACTACTACTACTACTACTACTACTACTACTCCTACTACTACTAGGACGACGACTTCTACAAATAGCTTCTACTATGACAACACCTACTTCTGAGCTGCAGACATCGAAAACTTGCCTTTACCAAGCAGTGCTCCTACCCAGCAAGTTATGTGGTGTCTGTGCTGGGGAGATTTAAGGAAGCGTTGCTTGAGTCTCCCAAGCACGGACACAACTCAACTTCAGGACTCTGTATACACCGTTGGCCGGGTGTAGAGGCAAGTGTGCCTAGAAATGTGTGTTGTGCAGACCCAGGCTGGGGGGTCAAATTGCAATTGCAC